CACCCATATATGGGCAGTCCCCTTAGAACCCCCATGACCCTTATGACCCTTATTAACCCTATGCCCCTCGTGACCCTTAGCACTCCTATGACCGTCGTGACCCTTAGCACTCCTATGACCCTCGTGATCCTTAGCACTCCTATGACCCTCGTGATCCTTAGAACCTCTATGACATTTAGAACCCCTATGACCCCTGTGACCTTTGAGACTCTCGTGACTCTTATGACCCTTAGCCCCTCTATGACCCTTAGCACCTCTATGACCTTGGTGACACTTAAGAGCCTTAGTACATTTGTGACCCTCGTGGCCCTCATAACTCTTAGCCCCTCTATGACCCTTAGGGCCCCTATGACCCTTGAGACCCTCCAGGGATGGGGACGTCCCCTGAAGCCCTGAAGCCCCCGCTGGCTTCGCTCGTTCCCGGCTCCCGGTGTGACCGAATGGGTGTGACCGAATGGGTGTTCTTTATACAAAGGCTCTTATGGAGATTTTTCTGTTTAGAATAAAAATATTCTATCAGCTCAGATGGTAACGCAGTTTCATGTTAAACAGAAAAATCTCCATAAGATATATGTATAAGCATGTATGTATAAGATATATGTAAAAATAGTGACTTTAATCATTAATAACTTGAAAAGGAAATCTGAAAAAATTCTATGAAAATTCATACACAATTCAATTGTAATTACAAACATTATATATGAATTCCAGATGAATGATATTATTCACCTTTCTTGCACGGAATACCTTAATCAGAGCTCCTGAATTATGTGTTTCTGAATTTTTACTGAGATGCTTGGTTTTTGTCATTTCCTCTGAGATACAAAGTTTCAGCCAATACTCGTGAGATACTTGAGTTTAGAACGAAATTTTAAGATACGTGATTTTAGAAATGTTTTCCGAGTTACGTAGTTTCCTTTAGGAGCCATCAATGTGTTTCTTCTAACAACAGAAGATAACCATGAATTCAAACTACCTCATTTTTTCACATAAAATTAAATTAAAAAAAAGCAAAAAGTATTAAAAAATTTGGATGACAAATTTCATCGAAATATTATTTAGAAATAATACCTTTGTAAGATCAAAGGGATTCCACTTGAACTTCTGCGCTTGCTCCTCCGTCATCACTTGAATATAGAATGTCCACGTGGGGCTTTTTTTTTGGGCAATAGCATTATAGAGATCACGAATGCTATAATCTGGATCGGATGACGCTATCTCCGCTGCTTTCTCAGCCAGAAGATTTTGAATGCCCTGATCCGTCTGTGAATAAAAATAATGGGGTGGTTTTGAGATGCATTCAGGATCAGACAAGGGATCATTAAAATGAAATGAGAAAATTCACCCCACCTTGTAATGGAATTTGCACCACACGTGTTCATTCTTATCATTAACGAGTTTGAATGTGTGAGAGCCGTAGCCGTTCATGTGGCGATATCCATCAGGGATTCCACGGTCAGAAAATAGAATCATCACTTGGTGAGTTGACTCGGGTCTTAGAGATAGAAAATCCCAGAACATATCCATGTCCTTCAGGTGAGTAGTGGGATTCCTCTTTTGGGTGTGAATGAAGCTTGGGAACATTAAAGGATCCTTGATGAAGAATATTGGGGTATTGTTGCCAGTCAAGTCCCATATTCCTTCTTCGGTGTAAAACTTCACAGCGAATCCACGCGGATCTCTACAACGTCAAGAGTTATTAAAACCATTGTTCCTAGAAGCTGGAGATTCACCGAGGCATGACGAATTCGTAAGTCTCTTGAATAGCAATTAAGGAAACGCAATCTATTTTTACTATTCAAACGCAATTACTTTAATCGAGGCAGAGTAATTGAAAAATGTATTCCAGAGGAAAAACTCTGATTGAAAATTTTTGTTTTTTTTACTCTTGCTGTATGATTACATTATTTACCTGACAGTATCAGCGGAGCCACTTTCGCCTCCAACGGTTGAAAATCTCACGGCTATCGGTGTTCTCTTCCCAATTTTAGAAAAAACTTTAGCTTTTGTGTACTTTGTGATATCATGAGTGACCTCGAAGTATCCAAAGGCACCTGTTGAAGAAGTAGAAGTAAAAAATGAGAATTAATCTTTGATCTACGACCGTGACACTTTTTTTTTCTGCCCACAATTTGCATTTTAATTTTACCTGCTCCTTTAGCATGAACAACACGCTCGGGGATTCGTTCTCTATCAAAGTGAGACATTTCATCGAGGTAAACGAAGTCCTGAATGAGCATGGGGCCTCTTGGGCCAGCTGTGAGGCTGGCCGTTTTGTCTGCAATGGGAGCGCCATTGCCGGTCAATAGAACCGGTGGGTCGCCCTAAAAACAAACAGGGTAATTTTATCAATTACGAGAAAAAATCGGTTTTTTGCACAATGCATACAATGTTTCCAATACGAGTGACTTGGTTTTCCAGGAAATGCATTTCTTTGAACATTCTCTGTGGAGTTCTTTCGTTACAATATGGGGGTCGATAAGAGAAAAAATTGCTGACGCATTGTGTAGTGGAATGATTCTGACTTCTTTCAAACCGAGTATCACGTAGTTTTCTATTGATATGAAACAAGTTTAACAACGAAGAGTTCAATTTAATATTGAACTCTTCGTTATTCGCGTGACGTGTACAGGACACCCCAGGCCGTTTTCAATCATTATTTTTCCCACTTTCTCAGTGATAGAAACGAAATTTTTCCACTCAAACGATTCAATTACATTCTTTGCTTGTTGTGAAAGTTTCTTTTTCTATGAAAAAAATTACTTCGAACGAATTCCCCCAAAAACCACATGAGTAAAAACGGGTTCACACACGAAAATATTTAATAGACAAACCTAGCGAATTAGAAAATTTTATTGGATTTCTGTTGAACTTTCTATTAGTTTTTGGCCAATTCCATTGAAATGTTCAATAGAAAATGTTCAATAGAAAAAGTCAATAGAATTAGATTTTTCTATACAACTTATTGGATTGAAATATTTTCTATAGAATTCCCTCGGCTCAAATTTTTTAAGTTTCTTTGTTTTATTTGGTTGATGAAAAGAAAAGAAAAATAAAATGAAGAAAATTTGGAAAATCTGAGCCAAGGAAATCCTGCAGAAAATATCTCAATAGAATAAGTTGTATAGAACAATCGAATTCTTTTGACTTTTTTTATAGACTACTTTCTATTGAATATTTCAATACAATCGGTTAGAAATTAACAGAAAGTTCAATAGAAATTCATTAGAATTGTCTAGCGAATTCGCTAGGTTTTTCTATTATTTTTTCTATCCATGTTGATCATATTTATCTAAATGTTATTCTTTGAAAAAGTGTTCTGCTTGAAAATTTCCCTTCTGTGTGAATAATGAATGAGAATGTATTGTTAGGACATCGAATGACCTAATTTCATGTTTATGGAATCGATTTAGCATGAAGTTGTAAGCACGAATAGACTTATTTCAAATTTATATAATGTTTTGCGAACATAGAAAATAGTTCACTTAGCAATTATTTTATTTGAAAAAACTAGCTTGAATGTAAGAAAAGTAATTATCCAAAAATCATTATCATTCCGAAGTTTGTATACATATACAACAAATATATTATGCGAATAGCATTGAACGTAAGCTTTATTATTTGAATCCGAATACCGGAGAGGAAATCTTATGAAAAAATGACTTTTCACGAGTCACATCAATTAGAGAAATAATTGAAATGGAAAACGAAACCAGGACTTATTTCTAAAACCCAATAAAACCTTAAAAAATGAGTGTCAAGAACATTTCCCCAGGCATCTCTCAACTATTTAATAATTCTCCATTCAGTGACTAGGACTCCTTGAATATCGCCTGCAACTCCTCAATATTGCACCAATTACCATAATATATTGATTCATTCCAATGATCGGTGTCGCAAAAAACATCATAAATAATGCAACTAGAACGATGGAGAAACAAATGAAACGCATGATTAAAGGTGCAGGCAAAGTCCAGGGAATATTTCAGACATTTTCCGATAGCAATAACTGCCATTAGTACTAACCGCAATTGATTTATCACAATTCCAGGATTTTGCGCCACCGCTTCCATTTTCCTGTGCATCCACAGTGAATAGATGGTTATTATAATGAACCGTCGCATCGATTATTTCAAAGTGTTTGCTCAGATGACGCAAACACGTCAACAATCTTGGAATAAAACGACTAATGCATGATTTGCCTTTTGAGTCCGAATGTTCGATCGTCAGTCAACAGTTCTAATTATGGATAGAATATACTGCAAAACGTTCGCATGATGCTTTAGGGAGGGCAGAACATAGTCATTTCATTGTATTCATTACAATTATCATCTATTAAATGGATTTTAATGACTGGATATTTCTCACGCACAGCGCAATTTTCCCATTGTCAGGTGCAAAAATTAACATTAATCATATTCTTCATAACAGCATAGAACGAGATAATGCAACTCAGTAATGAAATTGTGAAGTAAATTTACTCTATTCTACTGCAGATAATTTTGCATCTCAAAACGGTGTAGAGTCCCAAGGTGATGAAAAAATGATTTTGCAGACATTTTTTGTAGCTTTAATAGTGCTTGACAACAAAAATTGCCGTATCAATAGACCTATCATCTTTATGATTAAAGATAATCATCAGCAACTCATCCTGAAGTTGAGTTATCACGTATTGCCACTTCTCGATTGAACACCTTGTCCGCTGATTGTCTCGGAATGTATAACAACTTTTTCGTAGGTCTAATTTTGTCCTTCAAGAATTAAAACATGTTTACTATTTTTCTCCTAAACTCATCTTCAAATCGAGTTTCGACTGTGTATTCTGAATCTATGATGATTTTTCTCTAGCTCTAGGACTCGCTCTACAATAACATTTCCGTATTACTACAGCTTTTTTCGCACGTACGTAATAATTCCATACAAAAACCTGGCGAATTCGTTGGAAAATTGTTTGGAATTTGTAACTTGATATGTAGCTTGTCTGCATATTTTTGTTTCAATAGAAACGATCAATCAAAAATATTCCATAAAGAAAATCAATAAAATTATTCATTTGAGATATTTGCCAGAGAAATTCCTCGGTTTTGATTTTCTAATATTTTTGTTGCTTTTCGAATGAAAAGATGAGAAGAATTAAGTGAAAAAATTTCGAAAAACTGATAAAATTTCTATAGAAAATGTCTCCATAGGAAAAGTGGTATAGAAAAATGAAATTCTACTGATTTTTTCTATTGAATATTTTCTTGAAAAAATAAAGAAGCGCAGTAAATGTGCGAAATTCAGCATTAGAATTAGCCTAAAAGAAATAGAATTTCCAAAAGAAGTTCAACAGAAAGCCAATTCAAATTAGATTTTATCAACCATTATTAACATATTCCTCAACTTGACAGAAGACCGTGGGCTTCGATACCCACCCGACTCAAATCCCAAGCAATTTGATTTTTTTTAATTTCATATGCGTCTTTTCAATCATTCGAAAGAAGCGGAATCCAATAGAATTTTCTACCGAATTTACTAGGTTTTTCAAAGAAATTTTTTCGTATATATCCTAGACTCAAGAGTATATCGTCTAAGTTTTTTTTTTCAATTTTTGAAGCTATAGAGAATAGAAATATTTTCTTGAAGGCTTTTCCTCTAGACAAGATGTGGAGACATACAAAACAAAATATTTTCAAAAACTGCATCTGGAACAATGCAGTTTTTACTTGGATTTATAAAATATTTCTTCATCAGTTGTTCTGGTTACGATTTCGGTAATTTTTTAAATTCCGAGTTTGCATTGGAGTTAGTAAAGGAGCCCTGACAAGGTCTTCCTTGGGCGACAAAACGTTGGGTCCATCAACTAAAATTCTTTAATTTTAAGATACCAAATAGTTTAAAATATATTCACTTGTCTTAGTTTTACCGACCCATTTATAATTTGATTGATTAGGAATAAATCAAGTAGATCAAATTACAAACCAATTAACTTTACTATAACGTTCGACTTCAACATGATAAATTAATCAGACCAATTATAAATTGATTCGACCTATTAGTGATCCAACTATATGACAAATTTGAATAGTTTTAATTCAATGTCAAATCTGAAACAGGTCATTATAAGCCAGGGTTGGGTATCTGTCGATAACCACAGTTTTTTACATGACGTTGTAAAAAGCTCGTCATTCAGGAAATAAATGTAAAAAATGTCAAAAACCAGCCGACGTTACCTGTTATCATAAACCGTGAAGCATCGCGAAAATTATACCTCACGAGGGTGATAAGTCACGAGATTCATAACTTACCAGGATCATACGTCTCGTAGGTCACACCTCGTAAGGGTCATACCGTGTAAGGGATGAATTTTACAAGGGTCAATCTCATTATTTATTGATCTCTATTGAATTCGTCGCGGCATCATCTTTTGCCTTGACATTAACTTGTTTCATTCAGGATTCTTAAATGACAAAACTAATTCAATTGTCTTTGTTAACTTTTTTGAACTCTTCAGAACAAAATGGTTCTTTTCAGGTCCAACTGGGCTTTTTCGGGGCTCCAAATAATAAAGTGGAGAATCCAATAAAGCTCAATAGATAATGAGATTGACTTTCGCACAATGGAGATGATTTGTGACTTTGGTCTTTTGCAACGTTTGACCCTCGTGAAATTTACTCGGTATGAGGTATGAGGCTCATGTGTTTGAGCTTCTTAAAATGCCCCGAATTGTACCGCGTGATGTAGTAGTACATTGTCACCAGGCGATGAAAGTATTTTCTGACGAATGTGGCTTTATAACCCAAGCCGAAGGCAAGGATTTTAACCACATAAGTTAGCAAATAGTCTTATCGCCGTGTGAAATACAATATTTTATGTCTCTAAGCTCGAAAACAGATTTAACCGAGGGAATCGAGGTTACAATTACGGTTTTACGCTCCTGGGGGCATAATAGTATCTTATCGCCGTATGGCATACAATATTTTATGTGATTGGGCCCAAAAACCGCGATCTAATCGAGCGAATCACGTATGAAAAAATCGTATAGAAATTTTCTGTACAGATTGCGTATAGAAATGCTATACGATTTCCGTATATGATATTCGGATATTTCTATACGAATATTTTCTATACGAATTATTTCAATTCATAAATTTTTACATAAATTTTTGTTTTCATACGAACGATGTCTAAACGCTTCAGAGAAAAACGTAGAGAAATGTCGCAACTCGATACGAAATGTTTCTATACATGTGGCAGTGGGTCGTATAGGATCACATCTATAAAAAATTGTATAGAAATAATTTGTATAAACAATATCCGTATAGCAATATCCGAATATTATATACGAAAATCCTATAGAAATTCTATACGCAATCCGTATAGAAAATTTCTATACGATTTTTTCATGCGTGAAGCGAGGTTAGAATCGCGGTTTATCGGGCCTACTGACATAAAATAATGTTATGCCGAAAATAATTTTCTACCGAAAACGGCGTTCTAACCGAACAAAGGGCAGTTAAAATTCGCGGTTTATCTGTCCTCGGAACATGACATTATTTTTTTTATGACATTTACGTGCTCAATACTGCGTCTTCGTCAGTCGGAATAAAATGAAACATTCTAGTAACCGAAAATTCCAAGCTTTTCGAAGTAATGTGAAATATGTAAAAAACCCATCGAGGTAGTTTACGTAAATTACGCCGGTAAAAAACGGTGTAATTTAGCAACGCAATTTACAAGCCCAACCTTGTTTTCAAGCTCACAGAATCGCTATTTGCAGTCTGGTTATTTTCGTTCCTCGCCTGTGCTTGCATATAATTCGATGAACTGATAATCAGTTTTCTGTTATTTCAAGTGCCATCAAGTGGATGATATCCCAGGGATGATAATACAAAACGCATATGCCACGATAAGGAGGTACATGTTTTGTCAACATAATTTGCACCCAGTATCGTCAAGCTACTTTAACGATAGGGTTTCACTATTTAACAAGTTGCAATGTAAGTTGGCGCGTTATCACCCCGAGTTATTAACCGGTCTAATCACCCATCGTAGGATATAATTTCGAGCTTTCGAACTTGGACGCACTCAACTCTGCACGTGTATGTATGCAGTTGAGAAAGTTAGGTAAAGTAAACAACGTAAAATCCATCGCGATGATTGATATTTGCGATGAGAGTGTCATTGAACGTTGAACCGCGTCACCTGATTACATATCAATGAGATTCAATAAAAAAAGGAGGATGAATATTCAGCAAAAGGATAACCTTTCACACTCTACATTAAATTTCCCCCGAATTTTAGCGGCTATCCTACCTTAACTGACTTCTTGTACTCATTCAGCTGGTCGGATGCAGGGTCACGTGCCATTTCCGTTGTATCCTTTAATGAACAATTTCTGCAATTTGCGATTATCTGAGGAATAAACAAGTGTCGAGAACCGGTCCCGCAGTACGTCTGTTTCCACTGAGTACTTGTGCCTCTCAACAACAACTCAGGCTTTTTATTGGCTCGGACCGGCTGCCAATGGTGGGAGAAATTGCGACGTGTTTGATGCCACGATTTACGCATTGAGATCATTTCGAGTGTTCGACGAGGACAGACCATAATTGATAATCTCATCGTTTTGAGAATTACTATTATCTTTTAGGTGATAAGTTTCTCATGGAATCGTAACCTTAGACAACACTTATGCGTCATTTTTCGTATTGATTTTTGTTTCGAGCGTCTCGATGCTCAATTTTTTTACGATTTTTTCTAAGGTGTTTCGAAATTTTAAATTCATACGTATGAAAAAATTTAATAGAAAAACGTAGCGAATATGCTGGACATTTCTATTGGATTTCTATTGAACTTTCTATTAATTTTTGGCCGATTCTATAGAAATCTTAAATTGAAAATAGTCTGTAAAAAACGTCAATAGGGGAGGGTAGGGTAAAATGGACACTTGACTTTTTTTGAAATATTCATGACGTGTTGAATTGTTCACGAAATGGAATAATTTTATTTTTCAATTGAAAAACAATGATTACTCTTTGTGATGAGCTTAGACTGAGCTCAATTGATCAATCTGTTTCTGAGTTATGAGTATTTTTAAAAAAGTCAAAAGTGTCCATTTTACCCCACCCTCCCCTACAATTGGATTTTTCTAGACAACTTATTCTATTGAGATATTTTCTATACAATTCCCTTGGCTCAAATGTTTTGAGTTTCTTTGTTTGATTTTCTTGAGGAAAAAAAAGGAAAAATAGGATAAAAAAACTAATAAAATTTGAGCCGAAGAAATTCTATAGACAATATCTCAATAGAATAAGTTGTACAGAAAAAATGAATTCTAATGACTTTCTGCAGAATATTTTCTATTGGCCATTTGAATAGAATCGACCAAAAATTAATATAAAGTTCAATAGAAATCCAATAGAATTGTCTAGCGAATTCAGTAGTGTTCTTTTACTAAATTTTTTCGTGCATACAATGATGGGTTCAATTTTTTGTTAGCTCACACATTTTTGGAACTGAAACCAATCTAAAATGGAGAGTGCAAAATTTCAGGCTTTTCTCTGCTTTACAATGCCATTAATTATGCATTCTATACATTACATGTTATCCTAATTTCCATTCATTTTGAGAATTTTCTTTACCTTTGGGAGAATAAAGACAAACTTTTTTTAAATCACAATTACAAATATACAATTTATCAAGTGCACGAATCATCGGTGGAGATGTAAGGTGAAATTCCAAAAATTACTATTGGATTATCTTGTAGAAAGATTTAGTCACCCCTTTGAAACTTCGTATATGGATTCAAAACAGAACTTTTGTTTGAAATGTCTTGGCATTTTTTATACCGCGCTACAATGTCCTCAATGTTGCATGTGTTTAGAAAGTTTTGGGAAAAAAATCCAGGTCGACAAGGTATTTTTTCGTAACTCCATTTTATTATAGAATGATGGAGGCTCCACACTCGAGCCAGGTACAATAATCAAATTCTCACATTTTCGAAACGTTCCATCACTGCAGATTTAATGCATTATAAACAGTGAGAGAAGAGCTCATCGAGAAGAACTCTCACAAGTGATGATTTTCTTTTTTAACTAGAGCCATTCCATTAAGTATGCATTATATTAATCACATATTACCCAAATTTCTATTCATTTTGAAAATTCTTTCCTCATCTTTGGTAGGACAATTGGGCGAGAATCGAAGCAAGAGAAAGCTCACAATTTTACATAATTACTTCGTCCTCATATCAGTGACAGTATTTACTCTTCTTATCATGTATATTCAGATGATCTTTCAAAACAAATAAATAAGTTAACAAGCCTATAACATTGCGCTTATCTCCTGGATTCTTTCATTGTTATTGTTCATTACGACTAAAACTAGAAAATGTAAACACGTCAGATTCAGCCAATTGTTCACATAAATTACTCAAACTGTCGTATTGTAACTCTTAGATCATCAAACTTTCTCAAAGTTAAATAAAAAAATGACATAATCGATGCAGGAAAAAAATCACTCAGCTCCTGATCGAAATAAATAATGCGATCTTGTATATTGTATATATTCCTCAATATTTATTACAAATTAGTCTATATTAATCGTAGAATCCAATAGAATCCTACGTGCAGGTTTCTCTCAGCGCAGTAATCCCTAATATTCAAGCTAATTATTTAATTATCTCTTCTCCTCATCCATGATTTGAGGAGCTAGAGACAAATTATAAAAACCTTTGTTCCATACTAAAAAATAAGACTTGGCATTTACAGTCGTCTTCTTCATATAAAAAGAAATATCATACATAAGCGTCTCTAAAATCATGAATAATTTACTATTCAAAGATTGAAAATTTTCTCCGATTACATTCAGACATAATCAAGCGTCATCATCGGTTAAATCGTTGCCTTTGTCGCTACACGTTTCAATGATTGATTTTAATATTAACATAATCACATCTAAGATAAAACTGATTGAGAGCGACATTATTCGCTGCCTACACTCCCCATGATTCATGTTTTTCTCGTTTCATTAAGTTATTGCACCCTAAAAATTAAAATACACACATTCTCTGTTACAATCCTCATGTGGGTTAGCCATTCATGTTCATTGGCAATGGTGATTGGACCTGCCACACTATCAGGTGACTTTGCTCCCCGTGTTCCTCTGGATTAGCTACTGCTGCACTAGAACGTTCCAGTCCCTCTTCGGTTTCATCGACATCACCTGTGGAATTCAATGACTTATTTGATGATTATGTTCAAGATATATTTTAACATACAATTGAGGAAGTCGCTTCACTGTTGAATCAGTCCTCATGGTCTTTCAATACCAAGTGCACGGAACTTTTCTAGTGAGAAAAATGAAGCGTTCTTTCTCAAGTGGGCCACCCATTTTCTTCATGGCGCTAAATTTATTCCATTTTTCTCTCGAGCGATTATTCTACTTTTCGGGGGTTTCCTAATTTTTTTCAGATTCTTAGCACTGACTAGGGGGCTTCGTCCCCTGCTCGCTCCGCTCGCCAACCCCCCACGGGGGGCTTAATCTCGAGTTTGAGGTGAACGGAAGTGGCTCCGTTCACGTATCGCGTTGGGGAACGAAAATTTTCGTAAACGAATCCTAGATCCACATGTGAATTAATTTCGTTGACGGATGTCGTTTTCGATTCACACGTGAGGATACTCGTATGAGGATACAGTTAATCTCTTCTGGGGAACGAAACATTAAACATTAATTGTTTAAATTTATTTATTATAGTTCAATTCTTTGTTTTATAATAAGTTGAAAAATGGATAATTTGCGGAGATACATCTATTACGATGTACTCCAAATGCAGAGTATCACGACGTGTGAAGTTCGCGACTTGGGAATCAGTGTGCGAATTAAAAAACACCTCTGTGAACGAAGTTATTTCACATGTGAATCTAGTATTGGTTCACGGGAACTTTCGTCCCCCACCGAAGAGCGCGAACGGAGCCACTTCCGTTCACAAATCCGTTCGCCTCAAACTTGAGAATTTGTTTGTTTTTAGAAAAAGGCTCCAGTCAACGCTTTGAAAGTCCCAGACCAACCACACAGTCCTCATATGACCCCCATTCGATCCCCATATTATCCCCATATGACCCTTATTTTGACGTTCATTCTCATTCTCATCTTACCCTTATCCGGACCCTACTTCTCGCCTTTATCCTGACCCCTATTACGATCCTAATTTTGACCTTATTCCTGACCCGTATCCTGAACCTAATCCTGACTCTTATAACCCTTGGTTTCGAGTCTTAATTTTTCGTCTTAAATTTTCTATCGCCAGAAGTCGATTTAGATTTTTATAATATAGAGAGGATAGACATGTAGATATGAGGAAGTTGATTTTTTTCAAGATCAGATATAATGAAGGTACATCCCAAGCCCATAACACCCGAAAGTTAGTCCCTACATATTTTCGGAAAGAATTCTAAATGACAATTTATTGCATTCTCATAAATTATTGAGTTTTTCTACTCTCATATGTTGTTGATGTAGGCAACAATAACTATTTGAATCAAATAAGAAATCCTTTCATGAAATTGCCATTTTTTAGAGTTGAATTTCGTAGAAACTATGCAGTAAAAAATTTTACAAAAAAATCACAGTATTCGGAATTTATCAATCTATCACGGATTAGTTTTTTAAAAATATCGTCAGAAACGTTTTCTCATAAGATAGAAAAATCGAGTTCGGGGAAACCTATAACCCCCGTTTGGTACATAGAAGCCCGCATTTCATTATTTATTATCTCCTAACGTGTGTAGTACAGCTAGTTAGAATTTTTGTCAATATTTGGGGACTATTATGAACATTATCTATGAAAAACATGGCGACAATCTTAAGAAAAACATGTTTTTTAGGGAGATACATTAAGGATATACAAGTACCTTTCACAGTTCGGTACAAACTACACTATTGATTCAACCATTTTCAATCATCAAATTGGTTAATTAAATTGCGAGAGAAAAATTTGAAAAAAAATCATGAATATTCAGTGTCATTCAAATTACATTTTGCACAGAATTATTATTTTTTTAAACATTCGGTGTTTATAAATAAATGATTGAAACTGTTTAAACTTCCGGACACCTTATTTTCTTAGACATGATATCGATTTTTGGTAAAATTCTGAATATAAATTAATTTGTTACGATTCCGAACAAATCAATTTTATGGTGGAAAATTGATTATTTATAAATTATTTATAGAAAATTCTTGTAATTTTCAAAAATTGCATTTCTTCAATCATTTCATCAATCTTCCTCCAAAAGTAAATTCTCTAATTTTATTCTAGATCTTTAAATGTTGCTTTTTAAATGATTTGCAACATTTAAGTAATAAAAACATTGTAAAATGTCTGGAAACTTGGGGTCAAATCGGGCTCAAATGCAAGCTCTGGTGGTAGACTACAAAAGTAGAAAAGCACTTCACTGAAAAAAAAATAGCCAAACTACTTGGATATTCTTAAATAATTCATAAGGGGAAAAATGTAAAAATACATGACATATCTGTTTTTCTTCAGCTTTCTGATAAACATATTTTCATGTTTTAAAAAGTAGAACTAAGTGCTGAAAATGCGAAAAACATGATAAAAAGTATGAGTCTTATTTTTTCGTTGATTTTCCATCTAAATCAAACCGGCCCCATTGCCGTACACCACTTTTCTATACTTTTTTCTTGGATTTTCTGGCATTTCCAGCATTTATTTCTACTTTCTAAAACATGAAAATATTTTTATCAGAAAGCTGAGGAAAAAACAGATGTATGTTCACTCCCCCCCCCCCCCCCCCCNAAGTATTTAATGATACGTGAAATTAAAAAAACATCTAATTCCTCACATCTACGCGTCTATCAGTACTAAAAATCTGAAAGAATTCAGAAAAACCCCCAAAAAATAGGATAATCGCTCGAGAGAAAAATTGAATAAAATGAGAGGGCCATTTGAGAAAGAATCTCTCAAATGATGATGCCAATCGAAAAATTATAGTCAAATGTGAAAAATCTGCATCATGGTCCATGTGAGGATATTTTTACATCATGTCATAGTGCAGAGATTTTCAGTCACATATGACTTATTCACGGGAGGACGAACTCCCGGCTTCATTATCTACCAAACATTATGTAAATTGATTTTTTTGTTCGATTTTCATCTCGAAATTTCAATTCGATGCCCCGTAACTCAGGGACACCTCAAAATTCTGAATTTAAGGCCCGGGTGTACTATCTTTCGAATGTTATCCGGATTTTTTTTCATCTTTCGTAATCTAAAATTGTCAATTGAGTGGTACATCATGTAGAAATTCCCAAAAATTATGATAGAATGATAAAAAAAAATAGAAAAAATTCTGAACTTTTTCAAAGAGCGTTTTTAATTGAGATTCAGAATGAGTTGAAAAAAGTGGAAATTACAAATATCTGATTTACTGTGGCAAATTATCTATTAGCTGTCATTTTCCATGGTGGATAACAAAACACTAACTCCTCATGAGAAGTGACAGCTAGGTATCTCAATTTTCAAAACAGTGGTATGTAGTCCTCTGCCATTTTTATGTGAGAAAAATGTGATTAAAAAATTCTCCAAAATATTACAACTTTTTTCGAAGAGCCTTTTCCGTAATAAATGTCTCTGTGCAGTGTGGGAAATGATTTACGAAATCAGTCTTCCCCCTGCATGATATTGGGTGACGGAACGCCATTTGTCACCGTAAATCAGATACATTTTTCAATTTCTTGTTATTCAACTTATTCTGAATATAAATTGAAAATTCTCTTTGAAAAAATTAAGAATTTTTTCTACTTTTTTTTGATTATTCATTCATAATTTTCCAAAACTTCTGCATGATGCAGGACTTAATTGACAATTTCAGATGACGAAAGATGGGAAAAAACATCGAGATAACGTTCGAAAGATAGTACACCCGGACTTTAAATTCAGAAAAAAAAATTAAAAAGTGCTGAACATTTACTAAGGGCGTTTTTAATTAATATTGAGGAATGATATCAATAAACGAGATATGAATAATGTGTAGTTACCGTGGCAAATGGCGGCCTTTTAGTCGCCACCATGGCGGAGGAAAGACGAAACAATAAGTCCTTTGGTACACCGCAACAAGACGATTGTACGAAAAAAGGCTCTTTAAAAAAATCTGTAAAATTTCAAAGAATTTTTTGATCTCCCTTTTATGATGAATTACTAATCACTTAAGCCAATCACATCCATTGATGACTGTACTGGCGATCAGCCGTCACTTTTGTTGGCAATTGAAAACAGAAAAATTGCTCTTTTTTCCTTTTTTTGCGCCCTCGACAAAAGTGACAGTTGATGAACAGTACAATTTTCAATTGAGGAGATTGGTGCATGTGATTAGTAGTTCACCGTAAAAGTGTGATCAAAAAATTCTTAACAATATTACAAAGTTTTTCAAAGAGCCTCTTTTCGTACAATCGTCTGGTTGCGCTATGCTAAAGGATTTATTATTTCATCTTTCCTCCCCCGTGGTGGCGACTGACAGGTCGCCATTTGTCACGATTATTATACATGATTCATATCTCCTCTATTGAACTCATTCCTCAATATTAATTGAAAACGCTCTTTCAAAATGGACAGAATTTTTTTATGTTCTTTGAACCCAAATTTACAATTCTCGGGGGTCTCTGAGTGACGGGGCATCGGGTTGAAATTTCGACATAAAAATCGAACAAAAAAAGCAATCTAGATAACGTTCGGCAGACAATGGAACCGCGCCTTAACACTCCGTTAGTGGCACTGTGAGTGCCGCGCCGCACTTTTTCCAATTTTTTAAATGACACTGCAGTAAAGCCTCACAAAAATTTGCAAAAATTTGACATATGATTTTGAAGTGTCTAGAAGCCCTATCAATGGAAATATCCGCCAAGAATATCATAATTAATTAGATTTTCAAATTTTTATTCCGGAACTTCGGGCCGTGTCCCGTGTATGAGGTGAATTTTCAGAAAAACATGGCAACTTTGAGCCTGAATATATAATCAAGGATAACACTGAACATTAAAACTCTCACGGGACTTCTTTAAGTATACGATCTAGATCACTCTTGATTTTTTTTCGATTTTTCCTAAATCTTTCAAATTTATCATTATGTCGATTTATGCTGGTGCGGCGCGGCGCTTACGGCGCGACCTACAGAGTGTTATATGAAATATTTAACCCCTCACGTACG